CAACAACAACAACAACAACAACAACAACAACAACAACAACAACAACAACAACAACAATAGTACAACAACAACCCCCCCTCCCGACAAAGCACAACAAAACAACATAAAAATCAGCCTCCTCCCCTATAAAGGTAAAATGAATTTAAAAATTAAGTACGAAAACACAACAAATAGAGAAGTAACTATATGAAAAATTAGCAATATATAAGAAAAACAAAACAAACTCAGATGATGCTGATTCCATTGTTATTATGATATAATAGATAATAGATAGCATTTGTATAGCGCAAATCCCCGCTCAACAGCAAGCTCTTTGCGCTCGCAATCTATACTATTAACCCAGCACACCTGAGAGCATTCTGAAACAACATCAACTTCGTTGGAAGCACACAAAGCAAGCAGCCTTTTATGGGCGTTAAAACACTAACATACTGACGACACGATCTCTCACTGTCTACGGCCGGGTACCAATTTCCACCTGGGTGAAGTGAGGAAAATTCGTGTAAAGTACTACTTACTCAACACAAGTTTCGTATATAGCTAAGGTGCAGTAAGTGGCCATTTGTGTCATGACATGGTGGAATCAGGCTCGTAAATTTTTTGTCATATGGAAGTATTTGTATCATCTAGTAACCTCTTCATTTGTCTTGCTTTTGACCAAAAAAATATCCATCTATCTTGAATAGAAGTCGAGATATTTGGGATTGAAGGTGGAGGGGTCGCCTAGTTTCAAACGTAAAATTAACGACAAAAAAATGGCCGTCAAAGTATGCTAACTGCCACAGCTAGAGAGTCCTTGGAAGCTGAAAATGTACACCTTTTGTGTCTTTTGGTAAAATCCACAGAGTAATATGTTTTAAATGAACCTAAAAGGTGCTGAACTAAAAAATACCCCCCCCCAAAAAAAACCCCCCAAAAAATCCCGAACCGGTGGAAAATGCCGGTTTCTTTGATTTATTAATTTTGAAGAGCGCCTGATCTCACCACGATGCCTCACATTTATTTATTTTTGTTTGTTCGATTAAGAAAACAACGGTTACTAATTTAGTATGGAAAGAGACGGACAGAGACAACAGAGGGGAAAAAATATGTAGCCTACAAAGAGTGTTCTACAAATAGCGTTTTCCTAACGTAAATACATGGAAAGGACCAGCAGCAAGATAGGAAAACAAAATAAAAACAGGACTTTACACGTGATTAGTGACAGCCTTCAACCAACCGCACAAATGGCCATAAAATGAATATAGTTTTATCGTTTTAAAAATGCTACTCAAGGAAGGGGTGATATTCAGGGCATAATCATCATCAATGCCTTTTACCCCAGGCACGGTATAGGCCACATACAAGCTCCTTCCATTTATCTCTGTCCTTGGCCGTCCTTACTAGCTGGTTCCAAGTGAGCTTCATTTCTGTCATGTCCCTTTCCACACATCTCCTCCATGTTCCCCGTTGCCTACTCCTGCCTCGTGCTCCCTGTTGGTTCCACTACAGCGACAGTAATGTTTCCGCTGAGCTTTCTGAGGGTGTGCCCCATCCCATCGCCACTCTTTTAGTCCTATTTCTATTTCAATATCCTTTTTGTCTTGTCTTGTCCAACATCTCTTCATTTCTTATTCTATCCTGCCACTTAATTCTTAGGATACGCCTCATAAACAGGACAAAATATCACAAGAAAAAACAGCAAACACATAAAATTACCACACAAAAAGCAAAAAGGAATAAAACCCAAAAGCAAATACATACAATACAGATCAAACTTTGTGTACTTGATTCGTTTCTTGGTTTGAAATACCATTTTTGCACCTGGTTTAAAAAAAAATGTTGCTTGCTACCCTCTCCAAAACGAGTTAAATTTTGAGCACTTTCCACCACATAACACAAATGCTGAAGTCAAGCAACCCCCCCGTCTTCGTTTTTTTCCTTCTCACCCTGTAGGATAAGAACCCAAGCTGTGTGGTGTCTGTGACTGTGACTGAGACAGTGAAGCCGTAACCATAACTATGGCTGTTGTCATGGCAATAATAGTCAGCGTGTTGGTGGCTGGAATCTCTGTAGTCACTGGTGAGGACACGATGGGGATGAATCATTCGATGGAGATGAACCATTCGATGATGAACCATTCAGCGATGAACCATTCAATGATGGACCATTCGATGATGAACCACCAAAAGATGAACCATCAAATGATGAACCATAACGGACAGAGCGGAATGCATAGCATGATGAAGGTAAGACGGCATCGCATAGCACAGTTTCAGAGACCTGGCTTTGTTTTTATATATTTAACGCTCTCCCATTTTGTTAATAATTCTACTTCTCATATTTTATTAAATGTACAGGGTGATCCCCACAAAAATAAATATACAACTGTATTTTCCTCCACATTGAAGTTTTGGATTTCACATTTGTACACAACATTTGGAAGCCAAAAGGAATTTTGTCTGATGTTCATTTTAGAAAAATCCACTGAATAGTTTTGTTTTATGCAGCGCGTAAAAAAAACACAACCTTTTCAGCTATTTCCCCATTTTTGTAGCACGGCGCACTAGTTTGTATTCGGCCTACCACTAAAACATTCAAGCGATTGAACCATATTGCATACTACAGTAGTCGAACAAGCGAAGAGAAGTTTGCAGCTGGTTTTTCTCAAGTTTCCTTTGCCTGCTGTGATCATGGTTAAGATTAATAAAGAGTAGAGAGCTTTTTTGTATTGAACATTTCCTCACCACCATCTCATTTCGTAAGTTTCGCAAAAGGTACAGAAATAATGTAAAAGTGCCCTTACGGCCTTCTTTGGTGTCAAGGGTGGAAATGGTTCATCCGTTAGTACCTGTAGTGAATCAGAACTAAAACTTCCCTGACAAAGCGACCATTTCATGTCAAACACACATCGTTAAATGTTATCCGGGTGCAGAATTCAGTAGAAAAGCCCCATGAATCGTCTGTCCGTAGACAATGTCTGCGGCAATGAATTTCCTTCATCTCAACTGTCTGCATTCTCAAGGCAGATCTTCATCTACGACTGTACCATTTTCCCGTTCACAAAACTATCAGAGGATAGCAATGTATTAATGATTCTTCGATCGTCTTAAAAAGCGTGGACATTTCGTCTATGACATTTTGGTTCCTCGGCGAAGCCCGTATTCACCTTTCAGGTTATGTCAACTCCACTAAAGCTGTCTTTTTGAGCAACCTCACCCCACCTCCTATTGTCTCTAATGACAGCTCCATACTGTAAGGTGTACACTGTAGGTGGCTTTGAGTACTCATGGTTGAGTGGACCCTTTTTGGGGGGGCCACCATTGAACATTACGAACCACACGTTAAAGTGTGTTGAGTCCAAAGGAGAACATCTAGACCATTGGTTCTCGGAACCCCAGAATAAAAAAAAATTAACTTCGAAGGAGAAAAGAAGTGTTGTTTAGAAGCTACAGGGATGGAATCATTAGATTTTAAAAATAGAAGAAAACAAAAAAAATCAAACCAACTGTTTCACGACTTCCCTTACAAGATCTTTTAAATTGGCGCATTTGGCATTTTTTATGTTGTTTTTATAAAAGTCATTTCCGTTTTAGAAATATTTTTCTTCGTTGTGAATTTTATGTCAGACAAATTCTTTTTGAATGAATTATATCTCTTCCAAATTACAACATTGTAGTACAATTTTAGTGCGAGATATTTAGAAAAAAATTTGTACAGTTTGTTTTTGGATCACCCTTATTTTAGACTGATATTTTGTTTCATACTCGTATTTTATAAGTTCTCTCATTAAAATCTTGTTTAAAATATTTGAGGTTTTCACATTTTCTGAAAAAGATATTTGAGGCTCTCATATTTGTTAAAATTTACTTGAGGATCTTACCGAGCTGAGGTGCAAACCCCCGGCCCACAAATTCACGATTAAAGGCCTAGTAGTCCAACCGCAAGGCTTCCGACGGCACGGATAAGATAAACAACAAACAACAAACAAAAACAAAAACAAACAAAAAGCAAGCAAACAAATAAACAAACAAACAAGCAAAAAACAAAGAAAATAATAATTAAAAAAACAACAAGAAGAAACCCCCCCCAGAAAAAACAAACATAATGCTCACCTCCCTCTGGAACCTTCTCTAATGACCACCTGTTCAAGACTATCTCTAGTACAATCGACTACTTCCCACCCCTTACAACCCCCTCCCCCTCCCTCCTCCCACCTCACCCCCCTCCCCCTTTTCCTCCCCTGTGTAATGAATTTGGCTTAGTAAGCATAACCCAGGGTCACCGCAGAGCTCACACCAAGACAGCCGTTATGTAAACTGTTTCTGTTCGACCGTTTTCTCTTCCAGATGTTCTTCCACACAGGCTACGAAGACAAAGTTCTCTTTGAAGAATGGACAGCAGACTCCAAGACAGGTAAATAACACACACACACACACACACACACACACACACACACACACACACACACACACACACACACACACACACACACACACCTTAATGTCACACCTTGACCTCAGTGTTGGGGTCACTACAGTCGGAACATGTCCATCTCTGCTCCCCCCCCCCACTCTTCAGGATCCACCCCAGAGTCTGTCTGCTTACAGTCTCCATTATAATCTGGTTGGAGATCCGTCGGACTGGTCCGCACAGATGGCTGTGTTTCCCCTATCCTCTGTGGATCCCCTTCTTCAATCTACCAAGGGTGTGGGAACCGCTTTTTGCCCTATCCTTTCTCAAATTTTCCCCTAGTGCTAAATAACTTTGGGGGATAAGTGAACTTTAAGTTGTGGGTTGCTCATGTTTGTCTTCGAATATTGTTTTCTTCTTTTACGTCGAGAAAATTTAAGAAAACATTCAATTCGTTTCCTTAGATTACAAAAATGAGTTATCGAATCTGTATAATTTGTTGTCTCTTTTTTGGACGTGGGATCTCTTTCTGATTAGTTGTTGTTAATGTAGTAGTTGTTGCTGTTGTTGATGTTGTAGTTAATGTTGATACTGTTGTTGTTGTTGTTGTTGTTGTTTTTGTTGTTGTTGTGTTGGTGGTGATGATGATGATGATAAACATGATGATGATGATGATGATGAT